CGAATCCATGCGCATTCAGCGCTTTTGTGCTGCGCGTATTCACTTTCTGTTTTTATGAACCGTCGAATGCGCTCCGTTTGCCACTTTCGGTGGAAAAGGCGTAGTGCGGAATTACATCATCATTCTTATTTTATCATTACTCGACGATCGTTCAAAATTATGATTAGTTTTTTATATGGTGATTATAAGCTGGTTTCAGGCATTCACACTATCTAAAAATTATCAATAGCAATTATCGTAAATTGCGCTATAGCGCTGTTGGAAAATGTCAAACTTTCAAACGCGTTTTTCTCGAAAGTAAGATTTAGAATTCAGTGGACGGATTCGACGGTTCATGTAAACGCCGACGATGTTATTCTATGCATATCCTATTTTCATTCAAAGGATTATCCTTATTCAAAGTACATGAACATATAATCTATGATGTAATGTACATGTAATCTACGATGTAATGTACATGTAATCTATGATGTAATGTACTACATGTACATGTACATTGTAATTGACACTAGCTGTATGTGCAACAAGAACAAATTGTGATGTATTTTCAGTTCAGTGCTTTCCCTCTCCCCCTCTTTGAGTCACATCTACAGTACATGTATGCAAGAGGCTAAGAATAACAAAAATTGGTTATATTAAATCATGACTCATGCTCATTGATTCAGCAAAGTTATTAGTTAATGAGGAAATGTCTGTATATGAGGCACATTTGGTTGCAATGTTATTCCAAACATGAGTTTTCCGGGAAAAATAATCAGAGCAATCCATCATGAAATCATTATGCTAACGATTTAATAATTACGCAGTTGTTATTGTTTTTACATTTACACTGTACATGCATGTACATATCTAGACCATGAAGCTAATATTTTTGAGTATTTATCATTAAAATTACAAGCATTGCAACAGTCTCGTCAGGATATATTTTCTTCTTTTCTTCTTGTTTCTGTCCCTCTTTTCCTTCTAATCGTGTGAATATATGTGAGAATAATCCTACCTAAATGTTCAATTTCCTTTTCAAGAATAAATCTTGTTAACAATGCTCCTTTGATTCTATTCTTAGTTTCTATCCTCTTTCAAGAGAAGTGCACACATTGCATATTGTAGTGATTGAACATTAATATCAAAACAGAAAGAGGAACAAACCATGTCAAAATATATTCATAACATTACCTCCAACCTCTATTATAGATACACCTCTAGATTAATTTCTGTTATTTTCATTGTGACATGAAATTGTTATAAATCAATGCTTATAGTATTGACTAACAATGACTATCGACTTCATCATTGATCTGGCTGCAGTATCGCATCAATATCAAAAGAGAGAACAATCGGAAAACGCCTACAACTATCTATCTCATTCCCACATATATCTTTTTAATTCCAACATACGAGCTTACTGTATCTATTGTTTGGCATTAATCAATGACAGGTGAAGTTCAACAAACTTATTGTGTACTTCAAAGTTCCAATACATCCATACAATACAGTGAAATTCAATTTAGCATCATTGCATGGCACATTTAGAGGCAAAACCAAAAAACATTGTAAAGCTACAAACTTTTGCAAACATAAGATTTAAAAAAAAATTCTGAGTGGTACATCGGTCAAAAAGTCTTACGCTGCAAAATGGTTGAATCACAACACAGAATCTTTGAAAGTAGTCAAGTTTCTTGCTGCTTTTAATATCTTGCAAATTCTTTTATGCTGCAAAAAAATTACTATCTCACTAATTCTTTATGATGCAGAAGTTTATATTTTTTTCTGTAAAGCAATACACTTTATAAGCATTACCTGTAAGCCAAAAATGGACTAGATTATTGTGGTCATTTAACAGGTTGCAAGCAAACCCCATCAACAATATTTTATGGGCTCTTTTTAAAAGAAATTTGAGTGACAAAACTAACCATCCTATGGCCTCACTTTTTTATATGTTTCTCTGATACCCATTCAGTATAGACCTACCGGTATCTAACGAGGCACAATTTTTCTTTTTCTTCAGACCAACGAACTGCCAAGAGAATCCCATATAGTTCATCTCTTGTTGTAGCAACAATACAAATTACAGGGAACTCTTTAGGCGCAAACACCAGAAAGAAGCTCCACAAGTTCTTCTTTCGCTTCTCTCGATGGTTACATTGATAAGCCTCAAAGTCAATGCATTAAACAACAAGAGATGAATAGAAGGATCGGACCGACCATATGTCACTAGTCGTGCAGTTTTTGTTTATGATTATCTATAACGTATTGAGGAAAAACAAGAGGATAATCACTCATATGGAAAGAACACAAAAAGTTTGTACCAACTCAGCAAAGTCAAAGCTTCAACAGTGAATAAAAAGCTCTGATTTATTTTGCGTGTGATAAGGAACAATAGCGCAAACACTGCGGAAAGAAGACGTGGGTTTAGATGACAATGAATCGTTATCAGTCTGTTTTTTTGATAAATGATCCCGATAAGGGAACTGAAAATGAAAATATAAATCAATGAGATTTTGAATCACCGATAAGACCTAGATGCATTGAATCAAACAGGTCGTTTGAACAAAACATACTGGGATGACAAAATGAGGATTGTTATCCCTCAAAATTGTGAAGAGTTAGAACTATAAACTGGGCAGATATCTGGGCACAAGATAAATTGTTTGATTATGCAGAAATGTTGTGGTTTAATCATTTTGTTAGTAATTCATATTCTGCACCAGGAGGGGAAGATAAATGATAACAATCTGGGTTATCTTTGAATAAAGAAGCTGACTATGAAAGATGGTTTGGATAAATACTAACAGACTGAATAAAATAAATACCACACCAAATGTTGATGGATTTTGATTTGATGAAAACATGACAGATTTGCCAATACATGGATGAATGGTTCAATTGAACCTTTTCATTTTTATTTTTATTTTATTTATTTAATTTTTTTGGGGGACAAAGAAAGTGATGAATAAGGAAGCCAAATTTTGTAAAGATATTTAATCAGGGTGAACATCATTTGTCACTCTATATTCAGAATTAGTAGAAAGGACAAAATACTTGAGAGGATGGGAAAATATGAAATGATATTGAGAGATTAATAATTTATAATGTAAACATTTTTTTTGTTAATATTGACCTTATACATTAAGTAACAGATGGAGTTTTTGTAATGCATTTTGATTAAAGTCCTATTTTCTGTGAACTAATAATTAGATACAACTTGAAATGGGGATGATCGCAATCTTGACTAAAACCAATATTGTTGGTAGGTGGATACATTTGACTGATAGTTTTGCCAATAATCCTGAAATATTCAACTGATTACAAAGTCAAATATCATTAAATCATTATAATTAAACAAATTATTGCTTTACGTCAAGGGAAACTTCATGTTTATCTACAAAATTGGAAACCCATAGTGTAGTTTAAAAGGCTGTTCTCATTTTAGTTTGCCTTCATCAATTTTTGTTCACATTTATGGTTCTGGCTTATGTATTTATGACAGTTATTAATTCGTAAAACACCAATGAATGTATTTCTGTTATTTCCTTGTTGAAATGAAGAAGCAATAACAGTTTTGAATAACAAAAATATATATATCATTAAATCAATTTAAGTGTAATTAATGATGATTGATTGATATGACTCATTCACAATACTAAATATAATGTGATGGAAGATAAAAACCAACAAAAAACAACAAAAAACCAAAAAATGAATAGAATTAAAACAAAGAGTAGAATAATAATTAGGCCTATTGGAATGAACAATATCTCAAAACAAACAACAGAAGCTATACCGGTAGTTAATTCAACATCATCCAATATCAAATGGTGCATTTTATTGATCAATGTCGAATAATGAATCATCGCCAAATAGTTGCTATCAAATGCATACCTATGCAGTGCAACTGTAAACAAGATCACTTGCATAATTGGATGTTTTAATGCTATAATGCAATTTAACATAAATTAAATGGAGGAAAAGGGAAACCCTGATTATGATTGGCTCAGGTTTAATGATCCTCGGAGAACTTCGCTCCACAAAAAGTCATTTGCTCCCCCATTACACATGCAACGCAAATCATCATTCTATGGTCATTATGTGTGACCGAAATTCATTATCCGACTCGCAAGCTTCACGCCTCCACAATTAGTGTTGCATTGTTTGTATGGTAATGACATTAAAGTTGGACACCCTAATATTGGAAGTTATTAAGCAGATTATAACCCATTGCCCGGTCCGATGGGTGCCCTCAATTTGAAGTCTCGGAAATAGAAAACAATTTTAATTCTCTGATTTGTAGGTGCGGTATTCTTAATGTATTCTTTATGTATATAGAAGGAAGAAATTAAGATGATTTTCAAGGGCTGCTTTTGAGGCAATATTGACTCTCCTATTGTGTTTAGTAATTTTGTAATAAATGCATCCAAACTCATTGATGATAAGTATTTTCATGTGGGATCTGTTTTCATGGCTCCTTTGGAAGTTCTGGAAACAAATTGCCCATAACCCCAATCTTCAATGTATGTTTTTCACTGAAGCGATAAAGGATAGGAAGCCCAAATCATCCCCAATCCTATATAATGGCTCTAGGGTTATAAAGAATGCAAACATCTCAGGAAAATAAAAGAAATGTAAAGTTTTCCAGAGATATTTTCATGTTTACATGCTTTTCAAAACTGGAGGACTGTTTCAATCTTCAGCAGGGTTCATTATCTATCACATTCATCGAAAACATGAGTGTGACATAAACAACATTTTTAGTGATTACCGGTAGTTGATTACATGGGAGGGTATCATGAAATCACTCAATCATTACAAACGAAATTCAAATTGATATTTGTTAATGTTTTAATAATAGGTTTAGCCATCTATCAGCAGTTCATGAAGTAGCATAATTTTATATGGTACGTTATGACAATTGAAATATTTCTCCCATTAAAAATACTTAATTTTCAGACACTACCCCTCTTTGACAAAAAGGATGAAATATGAAGACAGAAAGAAGAAATTACCTTCGACAACAAATCTTGTATCATTGATCACGCTGCCCTCAGAGTTCTCAGCAACGCAGGAATAAGTCCCCACATCACCTCGGACCACCCTCTTTATGGTAATGGTATCTCCCGACAGAGTGATCCGGCTGTTGGATGTGATCAGCTCACCCTGCCTGTACCATTTGATGGTGGGGAAGGGGACACCGCTACCTTGGCACTGGAGGGACGCCTCTGCGTTCTCTTGGAAGACGACATGGTCTGGAGGGGTTGAGATGAATTTAGGGGGACCTGCAAAGATAGAGAGAAAGTGTTTAAAAACATTTAATATTCATTGAAGGATATTTCAATCATATCTAAGAAAAGTTCATTCACATTTATTTTCATGGGGTAAATGTGTTATCCTGTACATCTCTATCTTTATAAATGCTCCACTCCACAATGAAGTGAAACTTGAAATGGTTACATATTGGTATGCTTTAAAAGAAAACTATGGGAGAGTTCTAATTCAATGGTCATCATTTAATGTGCTCAGCATAAAATTTACCTTTGTTTTCCCTTCATACTCTTTCTTTATTTGCAAAACCATACTTGAAAAGAAAAAAAATCCTTTAATGTCTTTATGTATTAGTTTGTACCCCAACTCAGATATATAGTTTTGTTTCTTTACTTTACTGTACTTTAATCCAGCTCGTAGATCGTAGATGTCTTCTTTAGTAGTTATACATTATCCTTGTCTTTTCAATAATGGTATTTCAATGTTCTGTAAATTTTCTTTAGCAAGACTGTTATAAATACAGCCTAACTTCCTCTTAAAAGAAATTGACCTCACCCTTCATCTTTTCACGGTTACAGAATGCATGTTTTTAAAAAACACCAATAAGGACCCAAATAATGTCAAGCGCAGGTTGTCGGCCCGAATGTATCTCACGGTACAAATACGCATTGTACATAATCATTCGCTGGAAGGCTTATGAGAAAACCACCACGCAAAACGTGTCGCCACACTGTCCTAGCATGTGAGATAATGATGGCCACGTCGTCGATGTAACCAGCGGCATCTTGGCATTTCAATTAGTATGGCAAGTGATTACATGTTTGCGTAAGCGCCATCAACAAGCATGCATCATATGTTTACTCTGTCTCTTTTTGATGGAGGAAATATGTAGCATCTGGTTTTATCAGCTCCGGATATCATGAACTGTACAACACTATTAAAAAAAGTGTGATTTTACATAATACATACAAAAAATGAAATAAGTTTTTTGTTTAAATAAATATGAATAATTTGCATATTTTTGATGACTTTTCCTTCCTACCCCCCCCCCCCCCCCCCCAAAAAAAAAAGCATATAAAGATATTCCTATAGCATCTTGTTATAACATCAAAGAGTTTCAGATGAATTAAATATTTTTACCAACACTTTGTAATATCTTTAATGTTTTTGATGATTATAATGCAGCATGTATTTGGAAAGGTTGAACATTTGTACTGAAAGAATATATCTATTGATTACAATTATTTTTTTATATTAGAATTTTAATGAATCACAAATACTGGAAGATGGGAGTCATGAACTTCTTGACTCTTTATTTTTATCATTTCTATTTTGAAAAGGAAACAACAAATAAATTAATGATGGGCTTATGAGAAACTAAGCATGTGAAAGACTGTTTAAAAATACATGGACATGCACATGGATGCTAGCAAAGATTGTAAACAAGAATATTACATGTTTGTCCACTCAATTTGTTTTTTTACAGGTAGCAATTACATTGCACATTCCCACAAGGATTTCTAACACCTTGATAAGAGCTCTATGCATTAGTATGTCTATCATCTCCTCTTAAAGCCAAAAGGGCATAAACTAATACTTATTCCCCCTTCTGTTTACATACATGTAGTTAACTTCCTTCTTGTTCTCATCAGAGAGTATGTGCTTGTTTGTTAATCAAGTCTGAGCTGATAAATTAGCCTTACCCACAAACACACAAAACAGCAAGCAAATAATTGATCAGGGTAGAATCATCAGCTTAGAGCCAGAGAGTGTTATAACTCCTATAAGGCCACCCCCCCCCCCAAAAAAAAAACATGTTTAGCATCCTGTTTTTTGAAAAATAGGAAGGAGGAGGCCCTTTTTTTTAAAAAATAGAAGGAGGAGGCCCTTTTTTTTCTTTTCAAAATGGCCGCTCACAATGGCCGCTCACAAAGGCCGCTCGATACAATTTTCCGGACAGTCGGGCTATTTTCAAGATGGCCGCCAGTATTTTTTTAATTTTTTTAAAATTCAGAAATAGATCATTTTAGCAGTATGTTTTTCATGCTTTAGGCAAAATAAAAAATAAAATAAAAATAAAAATAGGAGGCGGCCCCCAAAAAGGAAGCGGGCGGGGACGCTAAACATGTTTATTTGTTTACTTGGCCTAATTCAACACAGAGTTAATGCCCTTCTGGCTCTCAGCTAACAAAATGCATGTCAGCTTACATAATAAGTGTATGTACATGATTATAGGCCTACATAACTCAATCAGCAATAAGTGATCAAGGTAGTATCTGTTCAGAGCAAGAAGGGAGTTAACTCCTACACTTTCGCAGACGCAACGCCTTTTTGGCTCTCAATACACAGTGTAAGGGCAATATCACCTCAAAATGCCTTTAGGTTGCGCAAGACTGAGCTATAAATCTCAATCCCCAAACAGACCCTGATTTGATCTTTCACAGGTAACTGCTCATTAGTGAGTCTAATGACAGGTTTAATGAGTCTGGAATCACAGCAGCACAGCTTGGTATTCAATAGGGATTTATTTCCATAGGGGATTAGCCAGATTTCTTTATTTGGGGATTAAGGGGGTAGGAAGTGTGAGAAAAGGAAGCTATAAAAAGCCAGGGAGTATTGTGACATCACAATGGGGGATTATGAGGTTTTCAGGAGAGAATAGAAATGCACTTGTACAGGTACTAGGGCTCTTAGAAATGTCATTTAGTTTACTACATGTTTACTTCGCAGCTAATAAACATGCTGTGAATAGGATAAAGGCCCACATACATGTATTTACAGTTATGCAGGTACAGGTGCATTGTTTCTTTCTTTCTTCCTTCCCCTTTCTTTTTTATATGTTCAATGAATGGCAAAGTTTAAGGATGAGGGCGAGAAAATAGCGGATAGAGGATGCTGGCTAGACAAAGATGGGAAAACATGTGGGGTATTTTTAACATTGAGATACAAGCAAATTCCAAAGAAGTATCAATCATCATCTTCATGAATTCCAGTGTACATGATGTTTAAACTTTAAAGGTAACATTGAATTCCCGTTATGCAATCACATTGTGAAACAAGTGCCTTGACTTTGTGCTGGTATCTCCTTGGTTGAAGTGACTGGAAAGGTTAAATACATACAATATAAGACAAACAAAATGGTCAGAAGTGAAGGTTTTTAAATCATCAAAAATATATTAGTTTACTCAATCTGACTGAATGGAAAATCTCGCAAATCATTTTTCACCTTTCTCAGAACCAAGCCTTTTATTAACCGGGCGCCGGGCGATTTTTACCCCACGGTCCCTGACTTTTGGCGCCCGGTAAGACGGGGAAAATGAGTACCGGGCGCCGGTCCATTTTTATTTCTGGCGCCCGGTCTGGGAGAATTAACATTTTCTATTTCATAAACTTCCACATGTCTAGCACTAAATGTTCACAAATGTGACAAAAACTTACTTGATACGAGTTAAACGTGGACTGAATGAACCCTAACAAACCATTATATAATGAGAATCCTAATTAAAATCGCCCAGAAAAATTGCAGCACTAAATACGAGCGGCCGCTATCTCCTACTCCTAGCGGAGTACGGAGCACACAATACAGGGGATGTACACCACTCAAAGACGAGCGCATTTCCCCAGGCCATGCATACACACACAAATGACATCAGTGCTGTACTGCACTACACACACAGTGTCAGTACAAGAAAGTCTCGATGTAACTTCCAAAAATCCATCCCAAAAGCCAAATTTTGCTGTCAAAAATGCGGAATCGGAGCCATATTTCCAAAGCTCACGGGGGTTTAGCCCAGTTTTAAGAAACATTTTCATCAAAAAAGCGCTAAAAATCAAGAAATCAGCGATTTTGTTGCCAGTTTTTTTGCCTATCGCATGCCCTTCGGATGTAATGGTATCTTCAAAAAGCCAAATGAAAATCAGAACACCGGACCTGCTGATGCATTGACTTTATGTACAAAGTTGATTGCAACTCCAGACTTGCCTTGATTCAGCGGCCCTCATACTCATTGACTAAAATTCTGATAAAATAGGTAAATATATTTAACAAATCTTTTTTCTTTTTTTTTGTTATTATTATTATTATTTTTTTAATTATTATTATTATTTTTTTTTTTTTTTAAGTGACAGGTCTAAATAACAAACACATTAAACAGGCAAAATCTGTTTTTTTAAACTAAAATAAGCTTTTTCAAGCTGAATAATATGTTTTTTGAAAGTGACAGGTTGGCAGCTCTGCAATGTCATTATAGATGGTTTTTCTTAAGTATTTTTTTTACAAAAATAATTCAATTCCCCCTTTCCTAACATTTTTCAATTTTTGACATTTAACGGCATGAAAATAGTATTAAACATGAACTACAACAACTACATATGACAGATTTATCCAAGGTATGAGTGATTTAATATTAGAGTGCTCAAAATGTAAACTAGAAATTAAACTACCGTATGTATAAATAAAAGGTAACGTTTAACAAATAATTTAAAAGAATACATATTTTCATCCATTTTGGAAACGGCTCCTGGTCCTGGAAAACGGCTCCCGGTTCTCTAAAAAAATTAAGGACCGGGAGCCGCTTTTTCAGATATTTGGCTCCCGGTCTAGTTTGACTTAATAAAAGGCTTGCTCAGAACCAAGGTGGAAAAGCGTAGACCTACACTTTTCATTTATGAGTCCCCTAGCCCTCCGAAAGAGAAAGTAAAATCATCTAAAAATGTTTTCAAAGCAGAATGAAATGGAGCGTAAAAAAGGATTTAAAATAAATCCAAGGTTGGCAGTGAGAAAAGAAACCATTCCAATTTTAGAGGCTTAGAAATAAATAGATAGGGATATTAAAGGTAAAGACCAGTTATGGTCATGTGATTGCATTGTGAAAGAAACGTTGTGGAATCGATCAGAAAAGGTTGATCATCTAGCATCTAGCATCTGCACGGTTCTGGAATCATCAAAATGATAAGAAATTTGGCCCATTCTTCATAAAGTTACAAGCACTATACACAGAAATATGTATATGGGACTACCCTATATCTCTCACAGACCATGAGAGAAACAAATTTACCAAATATATGAATTAGCAGGCGGTTTCCCGGCAAATTTTGTATCATCATGTATTAGTCAAAACATATTCTTTCACATGGTAATGGTAATTGGTAATGAGTGCTAAATTGGGGCGTTTCCAATACTGGTCTTTACCTTTAAACGGGACAATAAGAAAAGAGAAGATTTTAATAGAGTTACAGAGAGAGAGAGAGAGAGAGAGAGATCTAGAGAATGGGGAGTTTACAAGTTATGTAACATTACTTGACCACAAATCACGGAATATGGTCAACTTTTCTTCACTAGTATGCGTGACTAAATCATTGGTTTTTACAAGACTGCCAAATCAATAATAAGTCATGCCGGAAAGAGGTAAAATAATAAAGAGAGTGAAACTCCGAGGGAAAGAAAGAGAGAGAAATGAGAGTTACACTATTTAAAGATCACATGCATGACTACAACTACAAGTAATAGAAAATAGATAACTTTGCTGTTCTAGATTGCATGACTAAATCACGGCTTTGCACAAGATTGCCAAATCTCGGAACAAGTCATGCGGATAAGACGAAACAAGAAAGAAAGTGAAAGTGAGGTTTGAAGAAGCTAGAAAAATAAAGAAAACTCCCCACGGACTTGCCACAATTCAATTACAAGAATTCAAATACAGCTGCAACAAACCCATAGGATTATCTATTGTTAATGTCTTGTCTTTTGAAGATTTCCACCTATTTGCTAAGACTAAAACCAAACAGTTATTTAAAAGGGGTGGGGTGTTTTAGTAGTCCTTTGGAGTGATTCAAAGTGAGAAAGTGTAGTACTTGTTCATCTATTTTTTATTGAAAATGTAGATGTAAGAGAAATAAAGAGAGGAACCGGAAGAAAGATAGAGATAAAGACAGAGATGGAAAGAAAAAGAGAGAGGCTAAGTCTATGAAATAGTTGATACAAAATTTCCCTCACTCTGTTTCTTTGCTTTCTGATGAAAATAAAAAGTTCACACCAAATATTTGAGTTAAGCTGTCTTGTCTCTTTAAACAAAAATCTAGCAAATCTGTACAGAATCTAAACTAACACATTCACATCTAGTTGTAGATGTTACGGCTTATTGTATAAACATGATTAGTCACCATCTTGCAACATACATGTACATGTTTTTTCTAAATAGTAAATGGACCATGGACAGAATAAATTCTACAATTTTAAGAGTACCAAAAGGGCATCAACTACAAACTCCCATCAAAAAGGAATATAACGTACTGCCCATCTAGCTATTAGAAGACAACAATTTGTTTTTCATAAATATAAAGTCTAGCCTATTTTCAATCATACTGGTATGTCAGTAGAGAAGGAATTGCCATGAGGGCATTAACTACATGTATTACAATTGTGTTAAAGGTAATACAAAGTTTTGGGAAATTTTGAAAAATTGGGTGGATAGTGAATCTTTACAATTTTGATATATTTGGATGCCCCTGTGGATGTATTATAAGCACAAAAAAAATTAGCCGCTAAAACACTTCTGTTTTCGAGAAAAATTAGATATAAAAATTTACCGGTGCTCCCGGTAAATTTTGATAAATTTCAAATAGCGCCTACATGTATGGCCGTACAATGGTAGCTGCGACCATGAAAATCGCAGAATATTAAGTTGTAATATATAATTTCCAAACGGGAATAGCTAATCGGTCGATTTTAGTCAAGAAACATTGTTTCAAAGCTAAATTAACATCTTGACCTTGAGAGGGAGCTATACAACATAAATAGTTTATTATTTATAATTTCATAACTTCAGACTCGATTTGAACCGCGACAACGATCAATGAATATTGTAGGAACGCATATATGCTTCCAATATTTTAATTTATACCAAATTTATGACCCCATACCAAAACTTTGTAATACCTTTAAAGGACATGAGATAATACCTTTTTGGCTCTAAACTCTAAACAGTCAAGCTTTCATTTGTAAGTCCAGCCTCCTTCCTTATCAAACTAGTAGTCAGTCAATCACTCAAATGTTGTTGAGTCAAAATATTTTCCATCTACTGTATCAAAACATTATGTAGTCTGCTGAGAGCCAGAAGGGCATCCAGTCATGTAGTTCTACAAAGAGTTAACACCCTTCTGGCTTTCAGCAGATGCTGTTACAAATTACAACTGATACTATTTTTCACTCAGGAATGTATCAACATGTAACCTCAGTCTTGTTACTTATAAACAATGTCTGAAAACTAGGGTTAATCTACCACACAGGTGCTTGAATTATTCTCAAATTAAACACTAAGAATAACTCTATTGTTCATTTCAACAATGCAGTGTACATTTCCCTCAGTGGTGGTATATTTCAATAGCTGGAGTTCAGTACTCTAAGATAGATTTTCAAGTGACTTTTTAAAATTAATGTATGCACACACATGTAATTTTCATTTAGATACATGTAAAGCAAATTATCAAGGGACCATTAAAGTACATGGTTCACACATAAAGGGGTCCACATTAGCTTCTTTGATCTTTTAATACCGTAGTGTGTTTCATATGCAGGAGCCCTATGTAAAAAAAAATCAAAATTTTTAGGGTCCAGACTGAATAAATTTTGGGCGCCTGTTAGTATCAAGCCCTGACTTATGAAAGGATTACTTTAAAGGTGAAGTTGAGTTCTGGTCATGCGATTTCATTGTGAAAGAAACGGTGTGGAATCGACCAAAAAAGGTTGATCATCTAGCATATAAGAATTTGTGTGTATTGCAAGGTTCTGGAATCATCAAAATGATAAGAAATTGGCCAAGTCTTTGCAAAGTTACAAACACTGTACACAGAATGATGTATAGGGGACTACACCAACACGTGGCGTAAAAAACCTACCCCCCCCCCCCATTTTACGATTTACATGACATATTTAGAATATTAAGGCATTTGAAGAGCCATGCTTTTCAGGGAACATGTCTTATCTGATGTTCTTCCACACTTGCATAATAAGAATGATAACGCTCACAATTTATTTTTCACCTCTTCCCAAAACTCAACCTTCTCTTAAAGGGCAATCAATGTACTTAAGATGGAACGTAACCTTACTATGCTTAAAAGCACTTTAGCCCACCCAGGTTCATTACTTATGCAGAAAGAGGGTGAGTTGATGAAGGAATATATAGGGAGAGGATAAAAGCGATGAAACTTGTTAGGTGGGCGTTGAATTGGCCCTTAAATCAGCAAAAACTTTGTTCATAGAATACAAAATAAAAAAGGTTATAAATGCAGATAAGTGTCATGAAACTATCTTCTTACAAATTCTGAAAGTGTTCTTGTGCAAACTTTAATAGGCATTTGACTGCAACATTTTAGGGTTTCCGTATCCTACAAGTACAATGAATTATACAAAATTCTATTTTGTTTGGTTTTTTGTGTGCATTTGAAGCAGTTGTTGGCAATTATTGCTCATTCAAATTTTTTTATTTTGTTTTGGAGAAAATACTAAAAAAGAAATGTATTTTACTTGCAACAAGCAAAGCAATCAACAATGATAGAACTGATTAATTCGACAAACCAGATGATTTAATCAGTCATGTAATAAAAAGGAAAAGAAAAAAAAATATATATATATATTTTCATCTCTTATTAAACCTAAAAAAGAAAAATTCTAGAGTTGTTTTACCTAAAATAACCAAGTTCACAAAAGTTCCATTGCCTATGCTTTCCAAGTCGGACAGCTCGATGATCTGGCACTCGTAGATACCGGCGTCGTCGACCGTCACACCCGTCATGGCCAGCGACGCCCCACTATCCACCTGAGAGACGCGCCCCTGGAAGGCGGGGCTTATGATGGCGTCGCTGGAGTCGAAGAGGACGAAGAAGGGTTGAGAGATATCCTGGCGTTGCCATTGGAGGATGAAGAGAGCGACGGGGAAGTCTGGGGGCGGGGTCGGGAGGACTCGGTCGCAGGGGAGGATCACCGTGTCCCCATCACGGGCCTCGACAATGATGGCTCCTGAATCTGTGGAAATAAATTTGAAAAAATGATTAAAATCAATGTTTTCAAAATGAACATAATGAACGATCACTACTTCCACCTAATACAGGGGTGCATGTGTATGGGCATTTATGGTGCAATGTACTTTATACGAAATCGTCTGTTGAAGCCCTTCTGGATCTACATACAGTTTTTTCAGCACTTTCTATACATGCTCTTCAACAATTCCAAAGTGAAAATATATTTTAAAATAATAAAAAGGGGGGAAAAACCTAAACATAATTAAATCTGCTTTTGATTTACAAAGATAAAAAAAGGTAAAGATATTAAAATGAAAATGAACAGTTTTTCTTGATTGAGTTACTTTATTGTCAAGGTAAACACTAAGCATTAGTAATATAAAACTTTCAGTTTTGTCATATAATGTTTTACTATTTCTCTGTTCATTGGAAATTCTTCATCACTTAAAACTTACTGACACACCAGATAATCATTGATATTTGATGAGCATCAAGAATTACTCAGACAGAAAAACAAGAGTGCCAATAATGAGTTTTTTTCTCTGTCTTGGTGAGGTAATAACGCTAATGAATTCTTTGTATCGCAATGGAGATGGAGGCAATGAGCAGACTAATTTATACAGAGACGTGAGATTTTCATTGCTAGACCTCGATCTTGCTTTGTACATTCATAAATGTACATGAGTCATTTAGCCTGCAAGCGCTGTTGATATCTCATTGGAGAAAAGAGAAGAGAAAGGGAGAAAAGAGTGAGTATGGATACAAAGATGAGATAGACAGAGACTGAGAGAGAAAGAGATAGACTGAGACTGAGAGAGAAAGGGAGAGACAGAAAAGAAAAGAGAAAGAGGAGGTAGACTGGGGGAGAAGGGGAGGGGAGATATAAAAAAAGGGGGGGGGGGGAGACTGGGAGAGAATATATAAAGCATGGAAGAAAGAGAGGAAAGGACAAGATTGAGAAAAAAGAATAGGGAAAGAGAGCGAGAGAGTGACACACACAGACAGAGAGAGAGAGACTGAGAGAGAAAGGGAGAGACAGAAAAGAAAAGAAAGAGGGGGTAGACAGGGGGAGAGGAGAGATAAAAAAGGGGGAGAGACAGAGAGAGAACAAAGCATGGAAGAAAGAGAGGAAAGGAAAAGATAGAGAAAAAAAGAAAAGGGGAAGAGAGAGAGAAAGAGAGAGAGAGAGAGAGAGAGAGAGAGAGAGAAGGGGATCTAATAGCATAACATTTTAAAACAAAGAGATGTAGGTGTCACAGTAACCATATATAAACTGCCCACTAATACTATGCAAATGCAATCTCAACACATAACAAGCTATTCATCTGAGATGGTGATTCTGAGTGCTAATTAGCTTCACAAGCATTTAGAGTCCTAATTAGAAAATAATTAAAATTCTTTGTCATAGTATTTCGTTTGTGAGAGTAAGATTTCTTAAGCAGCACATACACTGTAGGGAAGGTTCAGAACAATACCTGTATTGCCATGATAAAGATACAATCTCTTTATGATTTTTTATTTTTTTTATTTAGGCGTATATGCTTGCTAGGTCTGAGTTTGGACTGGTTGTGTTTGTTACAAAATCAACCAAATTTTTCACTCGTAAATGAGAGTTGTATGTTCAGCCATAGCAGAGTATACACTTAAAGAAAAAATATTCATTGAATCCAGTTAGAATCAAATGTTGTCAGAAATCAAACTTAAACAAAAACTAATGTAAACCTTTTTACATATCTTGCTAAAAATGGAAAAAAATCTACAAGTGTATTAAACTCTAAAATCTTTTGCTATAAATAAGATCTGTAAAATCAAACAAGATCACACAGAATTTTCTCCAAATAAATTAAGAAGAGTTGTATTTTTGGTTGTAATGTCTACTTATAGTTGCTGGAATTGGTATCATTTTTTTATTTTCTTTATTTCATTCATTTGATGTATTTCTGAAGATAACTGTCATTGTAATCATTACTATTATGACTTCTTTTATGTTGAAAAGTAATTCATCTACTTTGTGTATTACAAAACGGACCATTTCATACACAGTACACGTACATGTAAGTGGGCCTATACTACACATTGTATTGATTATTAAGAAGGCATCACTGTTCTCCAGAGTCTTGTGATTGAGGACGAAGGGAGGATGGATGAGGACGAAGGGAGGATGGATGGGGGAAGGGGAGGGAAGAGGCAATGGATCGAGATGGAGTAATATCATAAAGTGATTATAAGCAGATGTCCAGAAATGCTCCTGGTCATATGCACTTCACATCCTAAACAAAGGAGTGATTTTGGGCAGGAAATTAGATGGAAAATTGCTCACACCTCCCAACCCTAAAATAGATGCTGAGACAACTTCCTACATCATCTTAATAGAATATAGGCCTACATGTACATGTCCATTGACCAGAGGTGTCTAAAATACAGTGTAAGTTGGTAACAATATTGATGATGATGATGATGATGATGATGATGGCAATGATTATGATGCTGATAAGCATTGTGAGAGTGTGGAGACACAATGTATATAAAACTAAATATATAATTTGTAATCTTCAATAGACCAAGGTCAAGGAGAAACGTGTATTAGGCTGAATTGACAAGATGCATCATGTGCAGAGAGAAAGGGAGGAAGAAGGGTGTTGCCCATATACATTTACAATGTATGGAGTATGTACTGAGTCTCTGCATCGATCCTACTGGCTCATGAATTGATTTCCTCCTATTCTGTTTCATCAAACTAAACTATTGAATGTATAAAGATGTACATGCATACAATGTATGGTCCAGAAAATGATGTTCAACAGTTTAAAGCTTCAATAAAGATGAAGCAATTTCCTACAGCTATTCTAGGGAGCGGGGAACCTTGAGATTAAAAATGAGGTTACTGACATTCCTGAATAACATAATTATCTTCTCTTTGAAACTCATTAATTTGTAAACTGTATAATCAAAAAGTTGGAACGCTTATCATCACTGTTTACCATTTTTCAACATCAAAACATCCTTACAATTTGAACTTTGCAAGGGTTCAAAACTTCATTAAATTTGTTTTTCGGACCCCCACTCGATCATGCTCATTGTAAAAATGTTATGAACAAGACAACAGCCTATCAGCAAAAGTGGTAACACTCTGTTATGCTCTTGATTTGCAGAAAAACAGAATACATGTTTTCAAGTTGTAGGCCTCCCTTGATGCCTGATTGTTTCTTAACATTGTCTGATGTATTTCCTGATTTCTCTATAAGTTTGTTCTTGTTAAATGATCCCAGCCTTTCCAGGTCATCTACCAATATCAAAGAGCTGAATTTGAGTCTTGAATTGAAGTGAATTGAAGTGAATTAAATAACAGAAAGACACGCGATAAGTGCACCCCCTTTGAAATCTACACGCGACTTAATTGGAGTTAGCCTCATTATCAGGTATGTTACTCTATTTATTATACTGTATTTCAAGAGAGGAATAAGTTTTGATAACTGTAAACAAGCTACCAGTAACTATTCCAGATTGATAGCATGACTAGTTTCTATCAATAGCAGTGATGTTTAATGTTCCGCCAATGAAAATGATTAATCTTTCATAACATTAAGATTGTCATATATTTTGAGATCATTAATGTTTAAAGCTCGAGATGAAAATTAGAGAATAGCTTTTTATAAATAGAGACATTATCAAGCTTTTTCCTCTTGCAATCATCACAGTAAAAAAAACAAGAATAAACAAACAGCCCAAATAAAAAAAATAAAAAAATAAATGTTGGAACAAAAAAATAATTAAAAAATTGTGCATTACTTGTAATATAATTACGAATAATCAAGAGTTTTAATGGTAAAGGTCTAGCTCGATAAAGTATTGGAATAAAGTATTGGAATAAAGGCTGAATCCCAACTAACAATAATGACACAATAGTGATATTTCCCTTTAATTTTTTACAAAATATATTCCAAGTTGTCAATACATCCCTGCATTGTGAATAGGATAAACGAGGTGGATATAGAAGCGAGACCTCCCTGGGTCTTTACAGGGGGGCGATGGGCTTTCCACGGGGACCGACAAAACGGTGATGATCAATGGAGGATGATCATCACTTTATCACGTTTATTGTGATCCTGTTTACATTCAAATGCACAAATATAACAATTAGCCTCTAAATGGCAGATGGGGTTTTGTACTTCATACAATAAAGTGATCTGTGATGAGTCCATCAATGCATGTGGACTGGGATGAATACAAGTTCAGCGCTAAGCAGGAAATGTATTTTAACAGCATGTATGCTAGATATAAATAAATGTACACATGTATGTAATTGATGTTGTCATTTGTTATGTCAAAACCAAGGTGATATACGTAATAGTCTGTCATGAGCAAGTATATTTGGTGATTAACATCAATACAATAACATTAAGTTTTGCCCTCTTTATTCAAAGTTGGTGTGATGAATGAGTGCAGCACTTAGCAGCAAATGCATTTGAATAGCACGCTATTAAAATACATAAATGTAACTGATGTTGTCATTTGTCATGTCAAAACCAAGGTGATGCACATAAAAGCCTGTCATTGTGCAAGTTTATTTTGGTGATTAACACAATAACATTAAAGGTAAAGACCAGTATTGGAAACGCCCCAATTTCAAAAAATGAAATGGAAGCTCTCATTACCAATCATGTGAAAGAATATGTTTTGACTAATACATAATGATACAAAATTTGCCGGGAAACCGCCTACTAATTCATATATTTGGTAAATTTGTTTCTCTCATGGTCTGTGAGAGATATAGGGTAGTCCCATATACATCTTTCTGTGTATAGTGATTGTAACTTTACGAAGAATGAGCTAAATTTCTTATCATTTTGATGATTCCAGAACCTTGCAGATGCTAGATGCTAGATGATCAACCTTTTCTGATCGATTCCACAACGTTTCTTTCACAATGCAATCGCATGACCATAACTGGTCTTTACCTTTAAGCCTTGCCCTTCATGTACAGAAAATATTGTAATGGTAAATAAAGAGACGGTCCTTGGATGAATTATCAAGACTCAAATAATCTATTGTAAAACAATTAATGAACTTTTTCGTCCAAGAAACTTGAGGAAATTCTGCAGGTGGTCGATATCGAGATATTTGGAAGTTTCATGCCACGAATCATAGCCAGAATGGTGTTAAAACACAGAGTTAATGCTGTGTTAACATTATTCTGGCTCTAAAATAATTGTTGCACTTTGCCAAGGTTTATTACCATGGAAATGAATGTTTTAACTCATTTCTAGATAGTTTGTGTAGTGCAATAATCTCTCCCCCCCCCCCCACCTGGTCTCAAAGTGTCCATATCATGAAGATTGAACACTACATACTGCTAAAGCCTACAACATTTGTAACCTGTTCTATTCAAAAGTTTACATCCAGAAAATTTCTTCCAAATTCAGCTCTTTCAGTCTTTACATGCACATCACACTGTACATGTAGTATTATTGCCTGATGAAAGCATCGACTCATACTATTCTACGCAGAGCTAAGATCCTTCTGGCTCTCAAAATCTCAGTGGAAAGGCCTAATATTTTTTTGTTTGGGCCACGGTCCGAATCAGTCTGTCACCATGTTCAATTGCGTGCTAAATAGGTCAGGATTCTGACTAAAAAGTTGGACCCAAATCACAATCACTTCTCGATGCCTTCCACATCGTGAAGTCATAATATACAACAGGAATGGAAAAAATTGTGAATCCATTCAGTTTCCCCATCTGTGATCAGATGTTTGCAATAAACATTGGACCTTTGAATATTCCCAGACTCGTCATTTTCTATTGAAAATTAGAGTCGGTCTTTATGGGACACGATTTGGGAGGTCTGGTCTGGAGTTTTAAATATTTTTTTCCTCCTTTTTGCTGTTCCAAAAAATAAATATATGGCTTCTTCAAAATCAAAACCATTCATTTGTATGATGCTCTTTACCGTAATTCAAGTTTAATTTTTGTCCCTACAAATGAGTGTCTACTTCTACATGTAGTTCTTTTCTAGATTTTGATTTCAATAGAGCTGGTTCAATGTTTGGTTGACAACTTGGCAACTTTAATCTATTTATAGTTGAATTCGCATTTTAACTCTCCGTCTTTTTTTAATTTTTTATTATCATTCAAACATTTTTAATTGTTGCCGTCTTTCACTTTCTCTTTCATCACAATTCATTCCCATCTCTCTTTTTCAAGTCTGTCTGTCTTTCTGTCTGTCTGTCTCTCTGTATCTGTCTCTCTCTCTCTCTCTCTATCCCTCTCTGTCTCTCGTCCTCCCTCCCTCCCTCCCTCCCGCTCCCTCCCTGACATCTGTATCTGTCTCTCTCTCTCTCTCTATCCCTCTCTGTCTCTCGTCCTCCCTCCCTCCCTCCCTCCCTCCCTCCCTCCCTCCCTCCCTCCCTCCCGCTCCCTCCCTGACACAAGCTTCCGTTCAATTAGTCATCCACGAGATCGCTAGTTGTCCGATCATTCCATACTCTC